CCATCCATTGCAGCACTCCAGTCATGAGAGTCATCCCACTGCCATCAGGTATTTATACACATAGGTAAGATTCTCCTGACCCTTCTCTTCCCCAGGGTTAACAGTCTCAGCTCTCTCAGCCTCTGTTCATATGAAAGACGTTCCAGTCCCTTAATCATCTTTGTGTCTCTGTGCTGGACTTGCTTCAGTAAGTCTATAACTGTCTTGTACTGGGGACCCCAGAACTGGAGCCAGGACTGCAAGTTTGGCCTCATCAGTGCTGAGTAGAGGGGAAGGATCCCCTTCAATATGCTGGCAGTGCCCTTACTAATGCGGCGCAGATGGGTGCTGGTCTCTGCCACAAGGGCACGTTGCTGGCTCATAGTCAGCTTGGTGTCCACTGGGACCCCCAAGTCCCTCTCCGTAAAGCCATTTTCCAGCCATTTGTCTCCCAGTGTGTACTGGTGCTTGGGGTTATTTCTCCGCAGATGCAGGACGTTGCATTTCCCGTTGCTGAACTTGATGTGATTCCTCTCAGTCCAGTTCTCCAGCCTGTCCAGTTACCTCTGAACAGCAGCACAACCATCTGGTGTACCCTCTACTCCTTCCAGTTTTGTGTCATCTGCAAACTTGCTGACTCCATTGTCCAGATCCTTAATGATGAGGTTAAACAGTACTGGCTCCATATTAATCCTGGGGTAAACCATTAGTGACTTGCCTCTAATGGGACTTTGTGCCACTGATCATAACGCTCTTGGACCCAGCTGTTCAGCCAGTTTTCAAGCCACCTTACTGTTCACTTATCTAACCTGTACTTTGTCAGCTTGTTTATGAGATGCTATGGGATACTGTGTCAAATGCTTTACTAAAGTAAAGGTAAACAATATCCACTGCTCTCTCCTCATCCACTAAGCCAGCCACCTAATTGTAAAATGTTGTTGTTGGTTAAGCATGATTTCCCCATCACAAATCCATACTGACTACCCCTAGTCACTTTCTTGTCCTTCCCATGTTTGGAAATGGTTTCCAGGATTAGTTGCTCCATCAACTGTTACTATAATAAACACAAGGGAAACTCACACTACATCTCATGAAATTTGTGATGGAGCAGCAAGTGAGTTTTCAGCAGGGTAATATTTCCAGTCTGTGACACTGCTACCATCATATAACATCAAAAACCTGTTGCTCATGAAGACAGTGCAGGTAATTACACGAAGGGCTTGGTGCATAGCAAAGTATCTCACAAAAGAGTAGCATTGGTCTTCCTTAACTGCATAGTTAGTATGACAAGCTTCAAAATGATGGAAATTTTACCAGACCCTTAAGATAAACACACCTGAAAATTAATTTAGAATTTTTCAGTAATTTATACATGTCCCTCCAATACAAACCTGCCCTTCCTTTCTCAAAAATAAATATACAGTTTTAAGTGTTGGGCT